GAAATACCTTCACAGTCTTCGATGGAGTACAAATCTCATTGCAGATACTTCATAAATGCTTGTTGATTTATTTCCTAGTTATATTGTTTCGAGCCACCAAAGTGGCTGCAATAAAGATGTCACTAATTTCAAAATTTAAACAAAAATTGTTTTTTGTGGAGAGATTAAAAAGATGCAAAAGAATTAGACAAGTATATGGAGCCTACTTGATAAAAATGTATATCACAAAAGATTGAGCTCTACATTTTTGAATTATATCCTAAGCTCTCTTTTTTCAGGCTTTGAAAGATCTTGCTTGATTTGGGCCATGTGAGATCCTTAAATATCACCACAGACATGCAAATGATTAGTATTTTGAAGGCATGTAGAAAGTTTCTGCTTCTCTTTTTATTTCTTTTTTTTTGTATTATTATTATAACCATGCATACATAGGCAAAAAAATGTTATGTAATCAAAATGTTTTAGTAACAAATTCACATTAAAGGTATTGTATTCATAAGGAAAATTTGCATTCAAATTTGTTTTAATTGAACTAATTTTTTTTAATGTCTTTAAGAAGCTCACACAGGAGCAGTGCCATAATCATGAAAGAAGTTTGATTTTTCTCTGTATTCATTTCTGGCTGTGTTTGTATGTTCTCAGTGAAGCGCAGAATTAAGACTGTTAACTCAAGCCAAAAATTGTAACGCAAAGTATATTTTTGATTACTTATAAATGTTTTTACCCATGTAAGTCATATCTGAATTAATGAAGATTACATTCTCCCATGATGTTTGTATTACATAACATGTCAGAATGCATGATGCAGTGGGATGAAAGCGGGCCTTGGGATACAGCTAACTTGAGGTTGAATACAAGATCCACTGTTTACCAGCTTTTTGCATTTCAATTAGTTTATCTAAAAGTTGGATTTTTGTGAAGATTAAAGATAATACTTGGAAAGTGCCTAGTATAGTACTTGGCATAGACTCTCAGTCTGTTAGAAGAGAAAAATTATATGGGGTGGTGGTGGCAAGGGAACATTTTCCAGGGTATATCTACTTCATGCTTTCCCTTTTCCCCAGACCCGAGGCCCCTTAGCCTTTGGAAAGATGTGCACCCTCTTTCAGGAAAACCCTTTCTCAACTCACGTCGCAGCATAGGCAAAGCCCCCTCCATGTGTGTAATGCTACCCTGTCCCTCTGGCCTGGGTCTCACAACCTTTTTCCTCTTCTTTCTCTTCTGTCATCACTCTAGGCCTGAGAGAGTACAACTTCTCTCATTCCCTCTGCATCCAGGCTAGCTATGTGAAAAGAAGTCTTGCCCTTAAAGGACTTTTTGGAAACCCATGTAGTGAACTAGAATGAAAACTAAATATTGAATAAGAGACCTGGGATCTGGGACCTTGAGTGATATAACATTAGGCAAATCAGTTTATTTCTCTGGACCTCGGTTCCTCTTCTGTGAAATGAAGGGTGGAGTCAGATAGAGTCAGTGAATAGAATCAGTATATTAGTATCCAGTGCTACTGCAGAAATGTTAGTGTTACAGTATAATCAGTAGGGACTGCAGCTTTCAATGTGCAACTAACAATTCTACTCATCCTAAATAGAGTGATGTGGTGCAAAGAACCTGGGCTTTTGAGTAATAGGAATTCTGTTCAACTATCCTTGTTGCTAGAATTAACAAGTCAATGCAAACTCTGTGACCAAAAGCTTGGTCCTTAAATTTCAAGTTAAATGTCTTTCTATTTAAAAATGTAATAGGTAGATATTACCTCCCTCATTGGGTTGTCATGAGGATTGAATCAGACAATGTTTGTAGCGTGTTGAGACATAGTACCTGCTCTTGCTGGGGAGGCCTTTAAATCCAGTATTAGTGCTTAGTCTCCATCTTACTCAACATATGTCAGCAGCATATGACGTAGCTGATCACATCGTCCTCCTTGAAACACTTTATTTATACTCTCAGACCTCTCTTTCCTAGCTCTTGAACCTTTCCTTATTAGTCTCCTTTGCTGGCTCTTCCTCATTTCCTCATCCCTAAATGTAGGTACACATCAGGCTTCTCTGTCAACCTTCACTATTAGATCATCTCACTCAGTTTCATTGTTTTAAATGGTAACTTTAAGATGATTACTCCAAAATTTATATCTCCAGCAGAGATCTCTTTTATGAAGTCTAGATTCATATTTGCAGTTGACCACTTGACATCTCCATTTGGTTCACTATTAAGCATATTAAATTTAATATGTCTCAAACTGAACTTTCCATCTCTACATCATCCCTTTCTTGGTAAATGGTAAATCTACTCTTCAGTTGCTTAGGCTAAAAAACCTTGAAATTATCCTTATCTATCCCACATCAGCCTACTAACAAATCCTTTTGGCTTGGCTCTCATCTGATAGACAGATAGATATATATATATCTGCATATATATCTAGAATCTGACTACATGTTACCCTCCCCTTCTGCTGCTGTTCTAGTGTGGGCAACTGTCATCTTCCATCTGGACCACTATAGTAGTCTCCTAACATATCTCCCTGCTTCCATTTTATCCTCTCTCCTCACAGCAGCCAGAAAGACTTTTTGCAGCATAAGCATAATATCATGTCACTTGTTACAGGGTTTCCCTGGAAGGAGACTGAGGTAGAATTTAGTATGAAAAACCTTTTTAAAGAGTGTCCTGTGACGGACATTTATGAAAGGGAGGGGAAAAGATCTGGATTGGGCCAACAGATAAGTCAAGAGGTTATATAGGCCCAAAGACTGGCTTAGTCAAGCACATGTTGGCCCATAGAGCTAGAAGGACTCTTTAGAGTCGTTTCAAGTTGGACTAAGATGGCCAGGTCTTTATGGTCGCTCGTCAGTCAGTCATGGATGTGGTCTGTCCTGTAAAGGATGTAACCTTAGGCAAGATAGCCTTCTGCAGTGGAGGCAGCCCCTGAAGGGGTTGCCAGTAGTCAGCCAATAGCACTCTCAGACAACAGGCATTTATTGAAGGAGTGTCTGAGCAGGACGACACAGCATCCATGATTCCTATACCTATTTCAATCCAGTAGCTTTCCATCTCACTCAGAATAAAATTCAAAGTCTTTATCATTTCTCTCTGACCTTGTCTTCTACCACTGTCCCTTCCCTTACCCCAAAAGCCACATTAACCACTTGGAAGTTTCTTGAATCCCCCCATATCCTACGTCCTACCAGTACACTTCCATCTCAGCACTTGCTGTTCCTTCTGTCTGCAAAGTTGTTCTCCCAGATTTCTACAGGTTTGGCTCCTTCACTTTATTCAGGTCTCTGCTCAAATTGCACTTTATCAGAGTGGCTTTCTCTCACTAGCCTATAGCAAATAGCACACTGTTCTTTCACTCTGTTCCCTTATTTCACTTAATTTTTCTTTTTAATACTTAAATTATGACCTAATTGATTGATTGATTGATTGATTTTCCACTCACTATTTGTATTCACTTGGATATAAGCTCCAAAAACGACAGGACTTTTATTCACTGCTAAATGCCCAGTGGCTATAACAGTCCCTGGCACATAATACATGTTCAATAAATATTTATTAACTGCAATTATTTTGGGAGCAGGGCAGTATTCCATAGTAAATAAGAGCTAAAGCATTACTTTGAAACCAACCTAGGTTTTATTTGTGGTTATAAACTTATAAACTATGAAATGTGGGATGTTATTTGTTCTCTGTGCATCTGAGTTTTCACAGTTGTAAAATGTAGATATAATAATATTATATACATAATAGTTTTTCTAGTGAGATCAAATGGGATAAGGTGTGTAAAGCGCCATTAAGCACCTGATAGATAACACTGACAATATAAAAATTGCTTATAAGCATGTTATGTAGCATGTAGTAGGTGCTCAATAGTTGGTAGGGTTTTTTTTATCATATATGATAAATATATGATTTGTGGTTACAGTTGATTTTGATGAATCTGTGATTGTTTAGTTAATGCAAATAATTTTTTTGGTTCTTCATTTTAGAGTGCCTTTTAGGCAGCCTGGGCTGATATCTCACTCTTTTCAACAGGAAGAAATTTGGTTTATTTTATGTCAGAAAGTTTCAATACTAACAAACATTAATATGTGGTGTTGGAGAACCTTTTCATTAAATGCAGCCTCTTCACTTTACACGTGTGCTTATACATTATGTCTAAGTCCATTTAAAATTGAATTTTAAGTGAGGGAAAATTACTAAAGGAACCTTGTGATTTCTTTTGCAAAACAAATTATCTTTTTGTAATAAGAATCATAATTCTGTAATTAGCCTGTTTTGTAAATTTGAATGTTTGCGTACTTGATTTTTCTAAAACTGTATGGGACTTGCTGTAATGCTTCTTATAGTGTATATTTACTGCATAAAAGGCTTTTTTAGTTTTACTGATGGTGAAAATGTAGGAGGCAAGTTAGAAAATGCATGATTTAAGCTCTTGTCAAGTTGCATCCAGAAATAATTTAAATTTTAAAAGAAGAAAAATATCTTTGCAGATTTTGTTACCTCACAAATATACAGTTTTTACCTAATAAAAGTTCTTCTGGACAATAACAGCACGAAGTTAAAATGTGAAGGGCATAGGAAACGAGAAATAACTTTTAAGGTCCATTGTAGCACCCTCACCTTGCCCTCGTTCGGAACGGATTAGTTTAAAAGCAGGCGGGAAGGAAAGGCTCTGTGAGTCGGAAGGTTTGCACTGATACCGCTGTCTTACTAAAGCAGAGCCATATCCAGGTCAGCAGATATGGTTCACGGTCACTACAAGTGACATCGATCGAACATAGACAGAAACTCACTGCTTTTAAAGAGCGAGGAATTATTAGCTCTCTTTCCAATTAAGTCTTAGAGTTTACCATTCTGCATTAACGCTAGATTTAAACAGCAAAGTAGAAAAGGTACTGTGGACTCCTTGAACCTATAAGGAAAAGGCAGGTTTTCCGTAGACCGGAAAAAAGAAAGAGCATCCAATCGGCGTCCGTTTCTCAATGGCCAATCAAACTTTTTCTTACTTTGCGGCGCTGGGAAAAAAAGATCCGGAGGTCTGTCTCCCGGGTTTTGCTGCTACTGTCACCTGGAGGGCGGTGCACCCTGAGGCTGCATTTCTTCCCTGAGCGTTAAGGGACAAGCAGTTCAGCCCTTTTCCGTGCTGGTTGGATTTGCTTGAATTTGTTCCTAGTCACTGCTCATGTAATGCACTCCCTTAACCAGGAAATTAAAGCATTCTCCCGGAATAATCTCAGGAAGCAATGCACCAGGGTGACAACGCTAACCGGAAAGAAAATTATAGAGACATGGAAAGATGCCAGAATTCATGTTGTGGAAGAAGTAGAGCCGAGCAGTGGGGGTGCTTGTGGTTATGTGCAGGATCTTAGCTTGGACCTGCAAGTTGGCATTATTAAGCCATGGTTGCTTCTGGGTGAGTATATCGATTTGTCGTTGAGTCCTTTTAATCATAATACTTCTCATTATTTCCCTTAATATGTAATAGTTTTTACTATCAGCTATCCTGCCAAAAAATCGAAATGTTTCCTTTTTTGGATATGGAACTTCATTAGCTAGCCAGAGATGTTCCTTCCCCCACGATGTAAGAAGCACAGGTTCTGGTAGCACATGGCACCTGGTATTTGCATTTTAGAAAAGATTTCGTCCTGTTTCTGTATCTTCTCCGGAGGACAACATATTGATGTTGTGTGTTCTTGGATTATAAAAGGATATAGCTGTTTTTTAAATCATCTAATTAAAAAGAGTGTTTTTATTAGTCAAAATTACAAGTGACGAGTGTTAGTTATAGAAAGGTTAATACTTGAAATAGGTGCTTGTTTGCCTGCTCTGCTCTTACAAACCATATGAAATGCATGCCTCCTGTGGCTACATCTGTCTATGGTGGGTGTTTATAGAATGTTAAGGAAAAGCTGGGCTTTTAATTTATAGCTATGAGTCTGATGGTTTTATGACATTTTGTATTATGGAAAATATTGATTTTCTATACAAAGCATAGTCTACAAATAGCAAACAGTTATAAAAGTACAATTTGTTAGTTTGGCAAGAATATGGTATGGTATACTTAAAAAAATCAACAATGTTTTCAAGTAGGTTTAAATTATTTTTTATTTATGAATAAATAAAAGATTAATGATTTGTCAATATGCAGCCAAGTCATTCTTGAATAAAAAGAACACTGAACTGGAAGTCAGAAATAGCTTGGTACTATGCCAAGTACACACACATCCCATTCCTTTTAAAAACTCTGTGAAGGAGGGATTATCGGTTCCATTTTACAGATAGGAACTGGATTTAAAATCGGTTAAGTAAATTGCACAAGGTAACATACCTAGTGAATAACAGCTGGGCATCAAGCTCAAGTCTGATTGACTCTTGCTGTTCATCTATAAATAGACTGCCTTAGGGAGTCCAGGTTTTCAGCCCTGCTCTGCCTCTAACTTATCATGTGAGCTAGTGCAAGTCATTTATCCTCTCTGGTCCTCTAAAAACTCATCTGTAAAGCTGAAGTAACAGTATCTGCTTATCTCATAGGGTTGTTCTGAGGTCGTTGTGAAAGGTTTTTGAAAGAAATCAACTGCAGTGTACATGAGTTGTTATTGTATTGTGTATTCCATGAATTGTTACATGAGCTACCTTTAAATTCACCAAATAAATATCTTCAACTAGTTTCTGCAGCCTAGTGAAAAATTAAGTGGGTCATGTAGGTAGTATGGAAGGTTCACACAGGACTTACACAACATTTCTAGGAAAGAAAATATGTCCAGGCACATTTTTCAATTATTTGGCTTCCATTGTAATAATAGTGGTTTAAAATTATTGTAGAATTTTAAACTCTGCCTGTTATTATTATTATTATTATTATTTATCCAAAGTAAGATGATTGAGGTAGTGTTCTCAAATGGGCCTTGGAACCCTTCCCAGGATCCTGGGAGGGTTCTGGTAGGGGCTTGTGAAACTATTCCTTATATGATCCCCTCTCTGCACCAGAAAATGGGATATTTTCATCAGGCACAACCTCCTTTCTTCTGAAAGGTAGATGGACCTTTTTCTGCCTAATTACAAGTGCCTTATTCCCGAGGGACCCATGGATGGTTACATCTACTGTTCTTCCACATGAATGATGCAGGGGTTGTTTCTGACCAGACTGGGTTTCTTTCTAGAAATGAGGATTGTTTCTGGGTTGCTTGGAAGAACTTCTTTTACCTCTTTAAAGCAACTCAACTCCAACCCAGCACTACATGCCAAAGGACTTTTGTTTTTGGTGGGGAATAAAGACAATGGAGAGCTGTTAAAATATAATCTTTTTTGCTTAGCTCATAAATTTAAACAAGTTTCTGCCTTTCAGAAATCTTACATAGGCCCTTTAACTATCTAACAGGTTGATAAAAGGTCTTAGTGAGCATTTTTGTCCTAAGCTTTGTAAATTATATTTTTACAACAAAAATCTCTAGGACTTTTCTTTAATCTAACTTAATTTGGAAAAGTAGAAAATTCTAATTCTCCTGGGCAGTTAAAAGATGCACTCATTATTTGTCATATCCATTCTGTTAAGAAGTCCCAATTAGCGACATTTTGAGATCTTCAATTCTAAGTGAAAGCTTGGGATCTTTTATAAGGTTAAAGAGGAGTCTGAGATCTAGGAAGTCCATTATTCGTGGAGGGCAGATAATACATTAAATTTGTATAGCTCTTCACAAATATTACATTACCTCGTTCTCATATTAATTTATACTATTTCTATCCATTTATGAATCTTCGCTCCTACTAATTTTCTTAAATAAAAAGATTTCTCTTTGGAAGATCATTTATTTCCCTTTCAGTAATGTAATAATGTTTTGTTTTGGTTTGCTTTGGTTTTGATTTGTAAATTAAGGTATGCTACAGAATTTACACAATACTTGCTATTTTAATAAAAAGGATCTCTTAAAAAATAGAAGCAGGCTTCTGGAGATCTTACGTATCTTGTTTTTTATGATGCATATATTATGATTGCAAAACACTAAAGCTGTTAGAAGTCTCAACTATAGCATGTAATATATATTCTTTCTAAATCAGCTCTCTCATCTGTATTTATTTTCATAATAAAACCTGGCCAAGATAATGAATATTAGTGATTTGTGTCAATGTACAGTATAACTGTAAATTGTTATTATTGCACCTCTTTGTTTAGTTGTATTCCTATTCATCACTGTTTTTATATTTTTAAAATTGTAATACAATAAAATTGACTCGGTATTTAGTTCTGTGAATTTTAACACAAGTATAGATTCATGTAGCCTTTAAAGTCTTAAAATTGATATTTGTTTTTTAATCTTAAAATAGTTTATAAAAGGATAACATTCTATTTTTTCAAAACAAAGGTTTTAAATAATATATCATAATGTATGATATACAGTGTTTATTTCTTTTAATAATAAGTGTTTTTCCAATGAAAGTTTAACATAAGACTGCAACATAAAGCAACCATTTAAAATTAGAGAAAAGCTGATGTTTATGTCTAGAATTTAGAGAAAATTAACTTGAACTGGGTACTACCAACTATTAGATGAAACACGCAAACTGATTACCTGAAGTCCGTTTGTTTTTCACTAAAATTGTTCCCTTATACCAGGGGTCCTCAATACCTGAGCCGCAGACCAGTACCAGTCTGTGGCCTGTTAGGAACCGGGCTGTACAGCAGGAGGTGAGCGGTGGGCGAGCTTCATCTGTATTTGCACCCTCTCCCCAGCACCAGCATAACCGCCTCAGCTCTGCCTCAGATCATCAGGCATTAGATTCTCATAGGAGCACTGGTCCCTAGTGCCAAAAAGGTTGGGGACTGCTGCCCTACACTCTTAACATTCATATAATTTTCTTATTGTTTAAAAAGGCAGAGCATACAAGCTGCATTTTTTGGTTTCGAGAATATAATAAATTTGTATGAATGTAATCTTATTTAGAAGTCACTTTCCAAATATGGCAGGCAACTCTGAAATATAATTGACCTATTCAGTTTGGGTGTGTGTGTGTGTATGTGCGTATGTGTTTAATGAACTGAACAAAATATCCAGCACTGATAAATATAATAATGACAGTCTAGGGTATGTAAAGGAAAGAATTTCATTCATGCATGTTTCTTTTTTATCTGAAGGATGAGGCAGAATAGAATTATTATTTAAAATGCATACATATTAAACCATCAAATTTCAATTTATTTGATCCCAGTTTTTTCTCTGAAGATGATTAGGACTTCTGATAGAAAACTGAAAAGATTTTCTAAATTATGAGATACTTCAAATGTGTAGAAAAATTATGGATAATAATATAACAGATTTATCTATCCACCATCAAGCTTTAATAAATGTTAATATATTGATAGACGGACTTTTAAGGAGAATACAGTCAAATGTAGGCTCAGTAAGGAGCCTGTGAGCTTTGTATTACCAAGAGACTATTGACCAACCTGCATACTCACTGGCCTTTTAACTACCTAAAATCATGTCATAGAAGGTGGCAGACTTCCCAGAAAGGTAAGGTAAGAAAACATTGTTTATTGAAATGGAACTTAATTCAGGAAACTAAAATACTTGAAATCTTTAAATAATTAATGCATTATTTTTTCAATTGTGTAATTCACCTTAACTAGTTATTCTCTTCTATGAACTTGCTTATTAAATAGAGTAAATTTCCAGGTATGAGAAATCTGGAAAACCAACTTTGACAGGAAGAAACTGTAAAAAGAGTACAGCCCCAGTGGTACACAGAATGTAGGTGGAATTCTATAGGCCAACAATGTTTGCTTTAAGCTACTGGGTGTTCCCAAACCATCTGGGACTAAGCCATTTTGTGTCTTTTTAAAAATATTTTTTAAGTTACAAAAAAATAGATATTTATTGTATAGATTACTGATCAACATGAAGAAGAAAAAAAATCACCTATAATCCCACTGTTAACATTTTGTTCTATATACTTCCTGTCCATTTTAAGTATACAGATTTTTCGTTTTTACAAAAATGGACGATAGTATTTTCTAACCTGCTTTTATCACCTAATATATTGGGAATATATTTTCGTGCCATAAATATTCTACATTTATCATTTCTAATGTCTGTATATATTTCACTACTAATTGGACCATCTTTTATTTAACCCAACCCCTATTATTGGACTTTTTGTGTGTGTGTGTGTGTGTTTTTTAACAGATTAAAAAATAACCTATTATTGGGTTATTTTTTGTTTGTTTTATTTTTGTGATATTACAAACAATACTATGATGAGTGGTCTGGTCAGTGGACCTGATGGCTGGTCTTTGTGACATCCAGAACTTTTAGGACCAATTCCTAGGAATGGGATTTCAGATTCCAAGAGTATATATAAGATGAATATTTGTAATGAATATTTCCAAATTGTCTTTCAGAATGTTGGTTTCAGGTCCTCCCAAGTTGTATTTTTAAAAATAAATGAATAACTAACAGAAATATTGCAAAAAATGGATTAAAAAGATGATTATTTTTATGTTCAAGATGATATGATTTATTTCTTATAGGGTCACAAGATGCCGCTCATGATCTGGATACACTGAAAAAGCACAAGGTAAAAAAAAATGTTCAAGTCTGGCACCATGTATAGGAAGTATTTTAATTGTTACATTTATTTAGGAAAAACTGTATTGGTCCATTTCAGAGTTTAATTGGTAACGTTTCGGGCTATCATTTTAATAAAGTTGCAAACATTATTACACCTAACTCAAATATGTGTATTTATAATCCACCTTTTCAATTTTATATTCTCTTAATCTCCCTTCATGTATCCTCATGAACCTGATTTGGAGGCACATGTTCTTGACTCTGCTTATGTAGTTCCTCCATGTGGGACAGATTTTCCCTTCTTTTTTAAGTCCCATGCAGGTCTTGAGTCTCAACTAACATACCACTGCCTCCCCAATGTCATTTTCCTCCCACCCTCCTCCATACAACTGATGTAATTTATTACTTATTTCAATATTTACACAGACAAAAAAATTTTAGCCCTCTACTATTTTGTCAAGCACTGTTTTAGGATCATGGAATTGCTATGGTTTAAGGAATGCAAGAGGTTCTTGTTCACATGAAGCTTATATTCTGAAGAGCAGGGAGGGGAGAAAGACAAATAAGTAGCTCCAGTGCAGTGCATTGTGTGCTTTGATGTGGAAGTGTAGGATGCTGTAGGAATGCTTAGGAGATAATGCCTTTAACCCATATTTGTTTTGGGTTGGGTTGGGTTGGGTTGGAGATAGGAAAGACAGAGAATTCTTCCTGGAAGAAGTGATGTTTTCAAGTTTTGCTTTGACAGGGAATGGGGAGGGAAGGGATAGAAAAAATGGTTTGTGTAAAGACCCAGAGGCAAGAGAAAGGTATTCCAGTAACCCTGGAATAGAAACTGGAGAAAAAAGCATATCAGGAGACACAGCCAATCTGTGTAAACCAGTGTAAATTATTTGGACTTGGTCCAAAAGACAGTGGAAAGCATTGAAAGGTTTTTTCCCAGGGATCAAATTCGCATTTTAGCAAAATTGTTCATTAGAGGCAGTGTGGAAAATAGATTGGAGGGTTGCTCAAGCTAGAGATGGGAGACTAGTTATGAGACTGTTGCGGTAATCTAAAAGAAGATGACAGTGGTTTAGTTTAGGATTCAGTAGGAGTAGAGAAGTAGATGGATTTGAGGGTTTTTTAAGAGGGTAGAATCCTCAAAATTTAATGATAAATTACATATGGGACAAGGTGAAGGGAGGGAGAGGTTGAGGGAAAAGGAAGAGTCAAAGCTGATATCCAGCTTAGAGTAACTAATAGGTTTGGTGTCATTTCATGAGATAGGGAACAAAGTAGGGAAGAACCGATTTTAGAGGAAAAACAATGAGCTCAGTTTTGAACATTTTTAATTTCAGATACTATGAATAATCTAGCTTAAGTTCTTCAATAGATAGTGTGGACATATAGTGTCTAAAGTTCAGGAGAGGTAAAAATATAGATTTAGGAATCTTCAGCTTATAAGTAGTAATTGGAATCATTAGAGTAGATAAATCACTTGGGGAAAAGTATAAAGTGAGTGGAGAAGAAGGCCTACAACAGAACCCTGAGTAACACCAGATCATGAAGAATGGTCAAAGGAAAAACAATTTACAGCCAGAAAGGAGGATCTAAAAGAGGTAGTAGGAACGTCAAAAAAAATGTGGTGTCTTAATGTCGCCCTGAACATGCTCAATCTTGTCTGATCTCGGAAGCTAAGCAGGGTCGGATCTGGTTGGTACTTAGATGGGAGACCACCTAGGAATACCAGGTGCTATAGGTATTTAAAAAAAAAAAAAATGTGTCTTGGAAGCCAAAGAAGGAGAGCGTTTTAAGGAAGAGTCGGCGGTTTTAGATGCTGCCAGAAGTTTAAGTGCAATTAGCACTAAATTACATCTATTGGACTTCACAGTAAAGAAGTTGTTAGTGATGTTTGTGGGAACAGTTGCATTTGAATTTGAGGCCAAAGCCAGTTCAGATTTCAGAAGTTTGAGAAATGGAAGAAATGATGGCAGAAAAAGAAAAAAAAGAAAGAAAAAAAAAAAGAGGAAAATGGGATGAGCCAAAGGAGGGAGATATGAGAGTTTTGAGCATGCTTTAAGGCTGGTGGTAGAAGAAGGAACTGAAAATACAGGCGAGCAAGAATTGTGGCTAGGGGGATGTGCCAAGAAAGTAGTAGTCAGTTTGACCCTAAACACAGGTGCCAGAATGAGCATAATAAAGGATGTGGGAGCACATCATCCATTGCAGTAAGAAAGCAGAAGGAAAAGATGGGTTCAGGTGTAGGCAGGTTTTTAATTCTGATGATAAGATGTGTGGGTTTCTATGATGGCTCCTCTTTTTTTACTTTAAAGTAGTAAGTGAAGTGATCTGCTAGAGTAAGGAAGAGATGGTACAGTTGAAAGTTATTAGGAGAGTGGGGGAAGTTTGAACAAGCTGTTATGGGGAATGAGAGAGAGCGCCTACTAGGGGAATATAGTTGGTAAGCATTGCCGAGGGTCCAGTGAAGTTGGCTCTCATAAATTTATGGTCACAGTAACTGCAGCATTGTATGACTTTTCTCCAGCAATGCTTAGAAATCTGGATATACAGTCAACGTTTACCAGACAGGTGCAGGGGAAATGAACCATGGACTATAAGCTGATTAGAAAAGAAAGAGGGGGCTGATAAGAAGAAAATAGAAAGATGAAGGAGTTGATGGTTCTTGTGAAGTCTAGTGGGAGAGCTGAATGGAAGAGCTGGACCAGTAAGAGCGGGATGCCTGAATTTATGGTATCAGCCCTGGAGCAGTTTTGGGCATTGGCTTTAAAGGAGGGTGATTGAAGTGGAATGATGATGGAAGTCATTGGAAATGAGGTTGTTAGGAAACTGTTAAACCCCAGTGGAAATTGATGTTACCCAGGATAATGGTAAGACTTGGGGTGGGGCGCAGCCATCTGAGAGTCAGATGGAATAATGAGCAAGGATTTTTATCCTTGGGTAGAAAAGAAGTGATTTGGAAGAGTCAGGGAGTAGCCAAAATAATGCAACCCTGCCTCTCACCCATGAGGTAAATGAGTGCTAGGCCCCTTTCTAGGTTCAAGAGATATAGAAATGAACAAGGAATAAGGTCTTTGCTCTTAAAATATGATACTTCGAGATGGGAATACATTCTTTGAAAGAGCTGAAACAAGGCAATGGGAGGAGTTGGGAGATAGCAACATGAGTTGGAGTTGGCCTTTCTAAGGGTATTTCATTTCAACTGAGACTGTATGACAGTCAGGCATGTTAGATCAGGGTGAGAAAACTTCAGGCTGGGAGAATGGCAAATATGAAAGCCTTTGGGGGAGGGACAAGTTCAGTAATCTATTCCTTCGTTCTGGTCCCATAACTCTTTGCTCTCCTGTAGCTCTTTATACCTTTCTTCTATTATTCAGCAAACTTCTAGAAGATAGGTAGAGATCTTGTCCTACTTACCTTTATTTCCCACAGCCCTGAGAAAAAATTTTGATTGAACTGAAGCTAAAAATTTTATATGATAAACACTTGCAACTAATTTTCCCAATTCATTAACTAATTCGATATGTTTATTTGTCAATGTACTTGGGTTTAAACTGGACTCTCCTCTTTTGTTATAATAATTCCTACCTGACAATAAGAGATAATGGTCTGGAAGTGCATAAGGATATGAGAATTACTATAGTTCTTAACAGGAACCCTCTTAGATCAATATTTGAACACAAGTAGAACAAGTTTCAAATTCTCACACTAATTAATATTTCTTGGTAAAAATGAAAAATAGCTGATAAATTTGTTCATTGGCAAGTGTTATTATTTATCTCCTCTTCAAATACTAGTTCAAATTCCATTTTGTCCTGGTGATATGAACCAAGTGGCTATTTAAAAGATCTTCTTTCTCTGTATTTATGACCTGTTAAAAAGATAAACCTAAATAGAGGGTGTCTAGAAAAATTTAAGGATGCTTCAAAACAAAATTGTTGATTTAAATATATGGCACATTTCAAAGGAATATTCTAGCATTGAAGTAAAGTGCTGTAACTAAATGTTCTCTTGAGGATAATTTCAGAAATTTCTATAGGATTTTATTTTAGTGTTTAGATATGGTAATAATGGTTGCTTTATTAATAAGGTACTCAAGTGCCTGGTGTGTGCTGAATAAAGCACTGCGTAGGACAGAGAACTGGGTGTGACATAAAATGTTCCAAGTTATTTATGGCAGTATTGTTTATGATAGCAAATTATTGAAAACAAACCATGTGTCCATCAATAGGGAATGGTTACATGAACAACAGTACACTCATATAATAAAATACTACTATATTGCTATGAAAGAACACAAAAAAGCATCTCTAACTACTGATATGAAAAGATTTCCAGGACGTATTTAATAGAAGAAAATCCCTAAGGTGTAGCCTTTGTGTAAGAAAGGGAGTAAATAAAATATTTGCATAAACATACTCTAAAAGAATATACAAGAAACCAATAAAGGTGGTTATCATTAGGGTGGGAGATAATGAGGTGGATATGGACAGGGTGAGAGCAAGACTTCTTAATATTTCTTTTGATAATATTTTGATTTTTGAACTGTGCAAAAAATAAAATTTTATTAAAACTGGAAATTATAATGCCTAAATATGAGGGCTAAGTGAGGTAAACTCTGTGCCTAGCACATACTAAATACTCAGTTAAAGGACTATTCTTACTGTCTATAGTAAAGGGCATCCCAAGGGCAAACATTGTTAGGGCCTCTGCGACTGCATTTGGCAAGTATGCTTAATTACTAAAAGGGTTCCTGTCACCACCACCACCTGTGACTCAGTACCATTCTTTTTGATCAAGACCATTCAAACTCATAAATTGCATTTCCAAACAGTTAAACTACCTACGCATTGAGTAGTTTAATAATCCACAATATTTGTAATGCACTTTTACCTTTCAACAGGTTTTCCCAAGATTCTCATTGGGTCTTCTTCATAATCCTGTGATGTATAGGGAAGATATATAGGTAATGATATATATAATACATATTTAATATATATAATGACATATATAAATTCTGGACATGGACGTGGTCAGACTTTATTCCTTGTCTTTCGAGAATGTAGAATATAGTTGTAAAGACAAAGCAAACACATCAATATTCTAAAACATTGGAAGATACTATGTAATTAGGGACAGAATCATATCATCCTGCCAGAAGTATGCTGGGAGTGATATAGATTTCACTGGGGAAAGCAGAAGGGCATTTCAGATTTTATTGTCTGAAAATGTCCTTCCTTCTTTCTAGCTTCTTCCTCCAATCTTTTGTTTAAGAGTCTGGAGTAGACATTTGAGGTTTTTTTTTTCTGTTGCCTTTCTTCCTCAGGGCAGTTAGGTTAGTCAGTGGCCTATGGCTCTCTCTTCATGAGGTCTAGCTCTCTGAGTGTCTTAATATTCTTTTGGTTAGGAACCCCAGAAACCTGAGTAAGGAAAAAGAATGTATGATGGTTTAGGGGGACCTCTGGCACCGAGGGTAGAGAGTGGCCAGAGAAGGTAGAGAAGGCCATTGAAAATAGCCCCTCTCTCACACTGGCGTCATAGCCTCTCATTGCACGTCTACTGTATTCATCTCAGTTGGAAGGAAGAATTTTTCAGCTTCTCCGAGTACTTAGTAGAAAATGGCTGTCCTAAAGCTCTCAGGTTTGTGGATCATTCTTGCTGTCTTTTATACCTATTTTTTAAATTTCTGAAGATAGTATGATTAGCCTAGCTTAAGTCAGGTGTGCACCCGAATCCAGTCAGCTGTGCTGGGGGAGCGGATGAGGGTGGAGAGAGGTGCTGTCAGAGACATACTTGTGAGGGTAGTGGGGGCTAGAGAGGCTGGATAAGCACTATAAAATATTTGTGAACTACATGAGAATATCGAGGTCAGGCAAAATCGAAGACACACACTATGAGAATAAATACAATGAGAAGCATGTCATGACAAGAAACAGTGACTCATTTTTCTCATCCATTTGGCCTTTGGATTCTCTTAATGGCTTTCACTTTTCATGGCTCCTTCTATTATGCTTGGCGGACTCTAGGAAAGGGGCTCAAATGTGTACATGGAGTAGGAGGTTGCCTATGTGTACCATTTGAAAGAAAATCTTTCATGGCTGTCTTGCTTTTCAACTAGACTAATTTGTCAGAACCTCTGGATTTGAGACCTTGTGACATTGATATTTTTTTAAAAGCTCACCAAGCGATCCTAATGTGAAGCCACACTTGAGAGTCATGGTACTTACAAACAATATGAAGGAAAATTGGTAAATAATTATTTAAAGGGAAGGTTGTGCTGCTGATACACTTCTCTTAAGTTTTTACGTGGACATTTCGTGATTTTTTCACAAATATTTTAAGTACTTACTGTGCTAAGGTCACTGCTTATTGACAATGCTTACTTATATATAGTGAGTAAGGTAAACATGGTCCCTACCTTCATGGAGTTTCTAGTTCAGTGGAGGAGACAATGTCAGAGTGGTAACGGCTATGATAGGGGAAGTAGAGGTTGCTATGGGAGGATAAAACACTTCTGTTGCGGGATGAGGCAGTCAGAGAAGCTTCCTAGAGGAAGTATTATTCAAGCAAGTCATGCTTAACTTGTTTATTCTTGTTACATATCTCAACATCCAGTCTCTTTTTAAATAACCTAATTCATGAGAATTTTTAAAAATTATCTTTTTCTTTCTCTTTAAGGTGACTCATATTCTCAATGTTGCATATGGGGTTGAAAATGCTTTCCTCAGTGACTTCATATATAAGAACATTTCTATATTGGATCTGCCTGAAACCAATATCCTGTCTTATTTTCCAGAATGTTTTGAATTTATTGAACAAGCAAAAATGAAGGTAAGTTTTATTTTGATCCAAAGTTCTTCAAAAGCAGAAATTTTAAAATATGGGTTCATTATTCAATCTTCGTTCTTTTTGTAATGAATATGTAGAAAATTATTATGAAATTTCCCCTCAATAGTATTTCATTAATTCCTACTACAACTATTTAGTTCTCTAATTGCATTTTTTTTCAGTGAGATATTTAATATTAATTTCTCATCTTCTAATATCTTCTTGAAAAATGTTAGGAGATAAAATTCTTCACTTAACTGAGTTTTCTTTTGTATATGTATACTTGATTTCCTTTGACAGTTTATAACCACCTGCCGTTTGACCACTTGCAAGATGATCAAGTGGACTGTGGGATGAATGCTGTGCTAGTACTTTTACTTATTTACGAGGATTAACATGCATTCATTTTTGTGGCTGAGGTAGGGATTGTGATCTGTGCATTTTTAGCAATAGATTTTTTATGGCACTCTAAGGACAAAATGTATATTGCTTTACTGAGGTAGTATGAAAATGCTGATCTGAAGCTGTCTATTGGTTCTTTGACTTTAGAAGACCAACAGACAATATAATACTTTGATCTTGGTATTGGATCCAAGTCAACACTCTGACAGGCAGTGTTTCTAACTTGGCTGTTACTAATGATAATACCTTGAAATGGTATCATTTTAGTTAGTATGTAATTTTTACAAAATTTACGTGAGATAAATAGATGGGAATGTAGAAGCACTTACAGAGACTCTCTTGGAGCACCTAACAATTAGTGACAATTAACATTAGAATCCAGTTTAATTGAATTTCGTCTGATGATCTCCCTTCTATCTCTTCTTCTCTTTCTCTCTTCCTCTCCCTTAGGCGTTTCTTTCACTTAGTAATTCATTGAGTGTCATATGTGCCCAGCACTGTTCTAAGTGCCTTCTCTAGATTACCTGGAAAATATAAAACTGTTCAACCCTACTATTCAACTTTATTTAATAACAGATATTTGGATGAAAGAAAAAGAAGAGGTTTTCTAATTCAAAGCCTAATATTGGCCACTCTGTTCTCCTGTTAAAAATTTGATAGGCTCTAGATTGTAACATTTCAGGGTACCAGTAATTAGTATTAAAAGTAAAATGATAGTGTTTCTGTATTAGCTGTTTCTTTAAGGAGATGTAGAATATGCCTTAGGCCCCTTTTTTATGTGAAAAGTTTTGTTTGTTAGTATGAAAATGTGTATTTGATATTCTATGTTTACTGTATTATTTGTTTTGTAAGATGTGATTTTTAAAATATGATATAAATAATCTGTATGATTGTAGAAAAATTGGAAAATACAGGTAAATAAAAATGAAGATCACCCTATTTTCACCACTTAGACATTACCACTGGTAGCACTTGAATATATTTTTCTGTAAAACAGACTTATTCACAAAAGGCCTGAACTTGGTTCAGTTAATTCTGTCAACAAATATTAATTACTTATTCTGAGAAAATATGAGGACTCATATTGCTGCCTTCAAGAAGCTTGCAATCTAGTTGACAAGCTATTAATAACACAAGAACAAAGAAAGCTTGATAAAATGGAAATACTGTAACCTAATTATTATCCGCCCATAGCAAGATGGTGATTTGAATTTATAAGAGAATGCTTTCTTATAAATGCAGAACAAACTTAATTTATTTGATTAGCAAACACATATGGAATATCTACTGTGTGCCAAAAATTGCACTAAGTTTGAGGCATACAAAGATGGCTAAGATAGTTCCCTGCCTTCATCTCACCCAGCGAGAGGCAGCCTTCTTAGAGCAGAAGCAAGAATTAGCTGGACCAAGACAAGAAACAAAGGCCTTCCAGGCATAGGATAACAAGTACAAATGAAAAAATTGCTTTATAAATTATTTAATTTTCACTATTTTGAGTTCTGGAAAGGGGATATAAAGCCAATAAACTTTCTGGAAATACTTTAAAGGACAGCGTGATACCCAAGGAATAATAAAAGGTAAATAGGTAAATTCAAAATCTATAGAAACCTTTAGACAGCAGAGCTAGCTGTCACATAAAGAATATAAGAGAGAAGAAAATACCAACATTATTAAACCTTAGCTAAATCTGTTTGCACAGTGTATAAGACTGAAAATAAAGCTAGTTTCATTTTTCAGAGGCATAGGTATGGTTCATAAAATAAAGATGTCTAGTATGTAGTCAGAAAATGTGAAAAATGACAGAAGGGTATCTTATTAAGCTTATGATTCTAAGTTTCTTTGAAATATCTAATTCGTTTTGAATTAAAAGAAGTTCACTAATAGTTTTCATCAGTTACTATAATATGATTTTAAAATGTCTTCAGTCTCATAAAAATGAACTATAGTACAAAGTAAGAAAAGTTTCATATATGTGTAGTGAATATTTCTGTTTTACTTTTCTTATACAGAAGGTTAATATCTGGAAATTACTCAGAAACATATAAATAATATATATATTATATATGTAAGAAAACAATTGAAAATGTCTTTTTGATATAAGGATTTTCAAAATATCACTGATTTTATTGTGAATCATTTGACTTTCTTGAAATGAGATGCATTTGCAAAATTATTACAGCAGATCTAGGAGAAGAATTTTGCAACATATTTATGAGTCTGAGAAAACTGCCTTGCAAAAGTAAAATAATCCAATGAGCCATAAACATAGTATTGTTAATGTATGCTTTGGGTAGAGAGTTGTAAGTTTTGTTTTGTTTTTTGTTATAAGTTTTGGTTTTTTTTGTTATAAGTTTTGGTTTTTTTTTTTGTTATAAGTTTTGTTTTTTTCCCCTTCCCTTATTCCCATCTTTCCATCGTTGTAAGTTTTTAGTTGTAAGTTTTGTTTTTTTTCCCCTTCTCATGTTCCCATCTTTCTTTTGTACTGTACCAAAAGAAGAATCAGGAAATGAAGTAACTAAATTGTCTAGTTCTGTAGGGTGTACTCACAGTTCACTACATTTCATTTAGATCATTAACTTTTTAAAAGCCTGAAATAAGCCAACCTGTATCGATGGTGTTCCATCAGATCTATCACATTCATTATTAATGCAATATTACCCCCATCAGCATTGGTCTTGCACTGTGTACCTTTTCACTTGTAAAGTATCATTTGCAAGTTACCTGAAACGTTTTTTCATTTATTGACCTCATGGTAGTGTCTAATTACCTTTTCCACTTCACATTGTCATGAGCTATTTGTGTCATCATTTTACTACCTTATAAGTTTAACTGTTTTTTAAGTTACTTCCCTCCAGAATAAATTACTTCTAAAGGGAGAAAATTCTTTCCTTGCTAACCATTCTATATGTAGATTTCCAAGCTAGTGATACTAGTTTCTTTATGGGAACACTGTGTGTACTTAGAATGTCTCAGGCTTTCTGTTGTTATGATTATGGTTTTTTCATGTTTCCACATATATTTCCTGTAATTTTTCTTTTATTTATAGACATGAGGCTGAGTTACTACACTTTTATGTATACTTTACTAGATTACTTCAATTTAAGAATGATACTGTTTCAGAATTTTAAATACATCATCGAAGCATTTTAATCCTGGGGGTTGGGAAGAGGAGGTATTGGTTAATTTATGGATTGTTTTTTCCATTCTTTTCTTACAACAAATTGTACTTTGATAATTGAATAAATTGAATTAAATAAAATGATAGAAAGAATATTTTTATTTTATAATGTTAAATAACATAAGAATATATGATTGATTTAATAACCTTTCTCAAAAGAATAATGAAGTTTTGTTTGATTTTATTGCAGGATGGAGTGGTTCTTATTCATTGTAATGCAGGAGTTTCCAGGGCAGCTGCAATTGTAATAGGTTTCCTGATGAATTCTGAAAGAATCTCATTTACCAGTGCTTTCTCTTGGGTGAAAAATGCGAGGCCTTCCATATGTCCAAATGCTGGTTTCATGGAGCAGCTTTGTATATATCAAGGGGGCAAAGAAAGCAATAAGTGTGACAAAATACAGGAATTAGAAAGGGACAACAGTTCATGAGTTACATTCTTGAGATACTGAACAACTGCAATTTCTGAGTTGGCTTCTATAGCTACCTTTCCCCTTTTTGTGGAGATCAGGTGAATAAAAACTTCCTTTTCTCTTGCCTTTTTTCAAGTGGAAATGGAGGTCAATTGATTGTCCTGAGCTAGTGTATAAATAATTTAAAAAATAATTTTATGTTTTCTTTGGTATTATAATGCCTGATTAAATGCTTCTTTGATTTGCTAAGAGAGAATAACAATGTATTACCAATAATTGATTTATGTAGAAGGAAAAGTTTTAAATTTGAAATCTATGTTAGAACATAGAAAGATTAAATCGGTTGATTAAGATTTAGTATTTTTCTGTTCTACAAATGTTTCCATGAAGGAAAAAACATGAAATTCTACTTGACTTACTGTTTAAGAGGGAGATAAATTTCTCTGTAAATAACTTAAGATTAAAAACCAATACCTTAAACCTTCCAAAGAGGTAAACAAAGTATGAAGGTTTGCACTATATTTATATAGTGGTTACCATAGTCACAAAATTTTTATTGTCTTTTTATGAAAATGTACCCACTTTTCATTTTGATTTTTTAAAAATCTGATTCTATCCCTTGCATTTATTTTTAAGTTTTTATATAGATTTTCTTTCTTATATTATTATGAGCTTATGGTTCTTTAATTAGGTGATCTAGTCTCTTACATTGTGTGCTTTTTATCTTGGGTTCCTAGCATTCTGTTTTTGGGTCCCATGTCATAATTTTTTGATCTCCTTGGATCTGTGGAAAAATGTTTTATAGATCATTTTTCAGATGTAATTTGTTCAATGATCTGTTTTCTAGTTTGATATTCTACTAGAGAACATATTTTTTAAGGAAAGAAGGGTTATGGTTTTGTAAAAAAAAATTTAAATACATTCTTAGAAAGCATAAAATCATTTACAATTTTATCTCTGGCCAGAGGCTTTTGAATAGTTTATTTTTTAAAAAATTAAGTCTTCATATTGGCAAGGATGAAATTGACATCATAAATTTGCTTAAAGATATTATTTATCTTTTTCAAAATAAAACGTACTTAAAATTACCTATAATAATTAAGATAGGATTTAGTAGCTTTCAAGTAGCCTTCATGACTTAGAAAATATCATTGCCATTTAGATTGTATTAGGAAGGTCCTGAACTCTTCTGAAATACATGTTATAGAGAGCAAGCATATTCCTGTACGTAAGTTGGAAAGTGTATATTGAGCACGTCCATGCATTTGAGAAAGCAGGCTTTCTTATGCTGTCAGGAGCAAAAAGTAGAAGTGATAAATAAAAAGTATGTTTCGAGATTGCTTATAGACGGACAAAATGCCATCACATGCAAAGCTATGAACATTGCTTCTGTTGAGAAGCAGCATAAATGTAGTCAACCTACAGTGAGCTATTCGAGGCCAGCCAAGGCAGACAGAATCTTCTTTATGAGACTGTATAATGTTGTCTCTGTAGTCAGTATTGCTGAGGGTTTGCAGAGTGAACCTTTTCCATTTACATGAAAACATTTATTTAAATACATTTTCTTTTGCTTGGTGCTGTTCAGTTTTCAGCCATTAAATGTGACAGGAAGCCCTGAATAGAACTTTTTCATGATGGATAATGTATTACTTATGTTTGTAGCTTGTATGCTTAGTTGTTGCCTGTAATGATCTAGTTATGGTATAAGCTCCTATCTTCTCAATCACTTACAGAAGTGCTTTGAACATTGAACACAGTAGTTTGCTGTATCGAAAATAGATCAATGAATGCAATCCAGTCTTTAAAGTTAGGGGTATTATGTAAGGCAATGATGGGTCATATATATATATATATGTTTATTGTGTTTCCCATGGATATGTCACTCTGTTATACCTATTTATAAAAAGGAATTTCATCATTATGATTCTTTATGTCACATATTATAAATGAAAAAAGTGTATACCAAATATAAGTATGTTTTCAGGGAGAGGGAAAATATTTCGAAGAGTTTTTACCTCTTTTAAAATAGATTTTTCTGCCATTTAAAGATTTTTTTTGCTTTCTTGTTTTTTTCCTACCATTTTTTAAAAGGAAGAGAAAATGAAAGTATCATTTGTTCTTAAACATTGAAAAGAAATATAGAGCCTTCCTAGCAACCTGAGAAGGATGAGCAGAGCAAAGGTACTGGAATAAATGATAAAATTCTATTTATTTGAGGTCAATATTTTTTAAGTGTTTTGCTAACTTTATGCTTTAGTATAGGTGTGTGATGACATATAATTTTCATTGAAAACTAAGAAATATTTACATTTTTGGAAAAACTAAAGAAATCTTTTTTTAGATTCTTTAGGATAAAATTTAGACCATTAACTCAAGACACAGAATCAGAGGAAATGGAGTATAGTATTTTAAATGGTTGCTGCAGTTTTACTTTTGCATCCTTTCTTCCTTGTTGAACCTTGATTGACATGTATGAATATAGCACACTTATATAGTATAAATATGTATTATGTAACCTAGGGATTATACTTGGATTATGATTGATAATTTCTGTGGTGATGGGGAAACCCTGAACTTGTCACGTGATATTAGTAACTAAGATGGTTCAAATGTATGTAGCAAGTCCCCCTCAAAGATAATTTCTTTAAAAGTCCTTGAATGTAGCAAGTATAAATCAGACCTTATAACCTCACCCAGTGAGTTAAGCAAAGCTACAATACATTTAAAAATAACGTATATAGCACAATGAATTATTTATTTTTCCAGGTGACTCTAAATAGTTGATTTTTCTGCCCGAAGGATCCTGAACATATTTAGTCACTCTGTAGTTATTTAAGAATTTAAACCCAGAAGATGAAAAAGTTTTATATTCCTGTACATCAGTAGAATTTACAGTTAACATATATATGGTTTGTTTTCATTGATATGCTTTAAAAATAACATAACCTTTCTATTTTAAGTGAAGCTTGACTTGTTTTATATGTACCCTGTTTATAATATACCCTTTATTGTTTCTAATGATATACTTTAATAAAATAATAAATTTACCACTTCTCTTGTTAATATCTTTACTTATTTGAGGTTGTTATAGAGATTTAATATTTATTTGCTGTCAAATTCTGGGCTAACAGATCTTTTGACAGGACACAAAATGGTACATTTTGCAATAGAAATTAGTTTAAAGTCTGCGGAGATTTGTTTGCTCCAGCCACTTCAAGAAATGAAAAAGCTAAAGTAAGAGCTTACAATTGGCGTTACTGTGAATAAATTGTCATTGAAAATTCAATGGAACATCCTAGTATTTTAAATGGAGAGAATATGCTGAATTACTCTCAGATAAAACTACTGAGTATTCTAACCATGACAGCAGAGATTATTCCAACATTTTCTGGCACCCGGCTCCCAAAAAAATCGTTACTTCTCCTATCTACTCATTGCTGACTACTTTCCCTCTCAATTTCTTTGTTTCAACCAAACTGGCCTCTTGGCTCTCTATTCCTTAAAAATGCATAATCAGGGCCCTACTTCATTACTTGCTGTTCCCTTTACTTGGAACACTTTCCCCCAGTAACATTAGATCTTTGCTCAAATTGCCTTCTTGGTGAAGCCTCCCCGACCACCTTATTTAACATTGCTCCTATCTCTAACATGTTTTTCTCTTTTCCTGTTTTATTTATGGCATAGCCCTAGTTATCACCAAAATTCTATATATTTTACTTATTTTTTTTGTTTTTGCCACCAAAACTTGAGCTCTCCATGAAGGCAGAGATTTTTACTATGTTGTTTATTTATACTATCTATAAGATGTTTAAATATCTTACTATGTTTTTTTTATCTATTATGTAGCCCATAATGGCATTCAAAATTGTGTTGGGAAGGTAGAAGGAAGGAAAAAAAAATTGATGCATGTCTCCAAAAGTTATATAAGTTTTGGTATTACTTTTTTCACTTCCAACAGATACTAAGAACCATTTAATTGGTTCAAATATAAGGAGCATCAGCTAAACTGATGTTTCCTTTGATGTCTGGCTGCCCCCTTTCTGCCAGTTGTTTACTATAAAGAAATAATTAGAAAAAAATTCATAAATTTCCAAATGTAATATTTAATTTATGAAGACATAGCTTTGTTCATAATTATTTATAGAGGTCAGATAATGCAAATAACTAATGGATTTGTATTTTTCTGGACACCATTCCTACATCTTAAACACCACGAAGCTCTTTTAGAGATCACTTGTCTTTCAGCCCCATGAAGTTATGGTTCCTCTGTGTGCTCTCTGTGACATCACAGTCTAAATGACTGACCACCCATGCTATACCAGCTTCCAGAGGCTGAGATGATGAGGACATGAGTGATAAGATATTCCCTTTCCTTGCTCTCTTTCTAAAAGTGACAAACTCCATTTTTTTCCTAAAGTCTCACTAAAGGTGGGTATCTTTTTTCTTCATTTAAAAAAATCCTTTGTTTTTATTTTTAAAGTAGACTGAGTGGGATTTTAAGACAAACAAGTTGGATTTACATTTATATACAAATATTGCATATTAAAACATTTATAAATAGGTTGATGAGTATTTAGTATACATGGTAGTATACACAAGTAGTTTGACTGTGAATATATCAAATATATTGAAAAAAATTTCGAGGTTTCATATGACTTTAAAAATTTGTTTTGACTTGAGAAAATTAAAAAATATATATGCATATGTATATCTACATATATATATATCTACATATATACATATATATATACATACATATATATACATATACATAGATACATACATATGTATATATATATGTATGAGCTAACTTTCTAGTTAGACTCTCTGTAGCCCTAGATACTCCATTCAGTGGTTTCTTGGCAATGCTATAGTAGACAGTTTCAGGGGCAAGAACCCTGAGTTAGTGGGGCTTGCATTCATACTGTTTTGTTTTCCAACCAGAGCAGTTCTGTGGTATGTATTAAGTACTGCACAATACTTTGTTTAAAGAAAGTGTTCCCCCATCTATATTTGAAAATCAATGACCTACAATAATAGCACTTTGAAGAAATCTTATGTCAGAAAAGGAATGGGAAACAGGTGTTCCACTTTATGTGACATTTTATTTAATATGTTCAGAAGAGAAAGTAGGAAAGCAAGTATTGTAATTAAGATAATAATACTCATGTATAGAAGAACATGATGAACATACAATATTTCTAAAAATTGTAGTTTAACAAGAAATATAAAAAGGTAAAATTGTGCCATACAAATATTTCTAATTCAAGATAATCCAAATTATGAAAATCTCATTTTACAAATAAAGAATAAATAATTAGAACTACAAACGGGTGTACATTTTATAATACATAAGCACTTCTAATAGAATTACTTTACAAAATTATAATTAAAAAATCTGAAAACATGCAAAATTGCATCAAATAATTTATGTCTGATAATTACCCTTTATTCAATGTTTATTTAGAGCTTGTCATTAATTCATTTATCTTTTCACCATATATTTAATGAGAGTGGTCTCTATCCTCAAGAAAATCTATCTAGTGGGGTATAAAAAAATACTTACAAAACGAGTATCTTAAGCAAATGAATCGCAGAAATAATGTGTCATACACTCTGAAATGGAATGATGACTGAGGGCTGGCAGGGCTAGGGCAAGTTTCATGGTGGAAGAGAGCTGCTACCTGGAGGAAGGACATGACATAAATTGGGGTGGGAAGCAAAGCAAAGGGATGCTAGGCAAGCAGATTGCTGTGAGCCAGGAGTACAATGTGAAGATCTTTCTCAAGAAGCTGAAAGTTTGCAAAAGGCAATAATGGGAGAATTGATTGGAGCAAAAGCTTAGAGTGAGAGAGTGAAGAGGCTTTATTTTCGAAGCCAGGGTTTTCATCCACCCTAGGTGAAGGTAGGTGACAATGTGTATTCCTTTAGAGGTGCCTATGGAAATCTCTAAAAGAGATCCTCCTACCCTCATGTCTCAGTCCATTTCCGTTGTTGTAGCAGGACACTATAGAGTGGATGACTTATAAACAACAGAAATTTATTTCTCAGAGTTCTGGAGGCTGGGAAATCCAAGATCAAGATACCATCAGATTTAGTGTCCGGTGAGAGCCTGCTTCCTGATTCTTAGATAGCAGTCTTGCTGCTATACCCTCACAAGGCCAAGGAAGCGGGTGGGAGGTTCTACCCTCATGACTTACCCACCCCAAAGTTTCTATCTCCAAATACTATCATTTTAGGGGGTAGGATTTCAACATATGAATTCTGTGGGATACTTATAACCAGTCTGTAGCACCTTCCACTCTGAGAGATTCTGATTTTTCCCTTCCCTTGCTGCCCAAGTGAAAATGTATGTATTGTAATGAGAGGCTTATTAGTTGGCATGTGCTGCACACATGAATCTTGTGGAGCTGAAGAAAAGGAGGCTGCTGTAGGGAACAGGAAGTCTGTGAGGGTTTTTGGACAGCTGGGTAACATGTACAGAGAAGGGAGTATTGGCTAGTGGTGCTTTAGATTTGGTGAGAGAGACTGAACACAGGGATATGTTAAGAGTTGACTACAATTGCCTAGGAATTAAGTAGAGGGAAAGACTAGGACTTGGTATCTGAATGTTTGATGGCAGGGAAGGGGAGGCCAGAAAAAGCAAAGTGGACTAAGCATAACCACTTTTCAAAGTAGGTGTTGTTTCTATTTTACACAAAGTAAAATCTATGAAGGTATAATATCATTCCTTGTATTTTCTTCTTTTTCTTCTTCCTCTTCCTCATCCTCTTTCTCCTCCTCCTCCTCCTCCTTCTTTTAATGCCTACAGCACCTGGTATTCCTAGGTAGTCTCTCATCCAAGTACTAACCAGGCCCAACCCTGCTTAGCTTCCAAGTTCAGACGAGATTGGGCATGTTGAGGGTGGCATGGCTGTAGACTCATTCTTTGTAATTCAAGATTTAAGTGGGAAACGTAGGCTCTAAATTCAGGTCTGTTTGACTTCAAAATTTGCTCTAACATACTGTGGTTTTAATTTCTGGTTTCTAAGAGACTAACAGGATAGGGACAACTGGAATGGGGCAGGGTTTAGGGGGTAAGATGAGTTGGTTTTTGAGGTTTGATGTACTGATAGGTTGTTCAGCAAGCATTTGGAAAAATATCATTTGGCTTTAGAATGAGGAGGGGCATACGATGGAAATTATTTGCACGGATATGACAATTGATGAGGACGTCAAGGGAAACCATAAAGGATAGAGAGAGGACATGGGATAGGTATGGAAACCTAGGGGAAGAGTAGAAAGTTATGAGGAGAAATAGGAGGTATAGCATCTCCAAAAATACGAAAGACACTTATATATAGGAAATGATTGTTAAATCTGTTGAATACTGTAGATGTCAAGGATACAGGCCTACAATGGCACTTAGGAGAAAAATCGTTGGGGTCAGTAGTTTCAGAAGAGGATTTACACAGGAGCCAGTGTGTAATGAATTAAAAAGCAAGATGGTGAAGTTATAGAAATAGAACACCTACTAACGTCTGTAGACCCTTCTTTGGAGATGTTGAAAAGAGAAGAAAAAGTAAGTTCTGGTGAAGGTTTTTTGATAGAACAAACTGGACATCTTTATATTTTGAAGAGGGAAGAGACAGTTGAAAGGGTAGAAGTTGGAAATGCAAGTGAAGAAGGGAAAATGACTTTCTTAAAAGAAAAAAAATTAATTGGAAGAATACTAGAGAGGAGAAAAAAATGGCATAGATGATAGAGGCTCTGTTCATCCCTCTGGCAACCAAATCAAAGTTGTGATGGAAACAAGGAGCAGCAAGCAAGGAAAAATCTCCTGGGATCTAGTGGAACAAGCAAGCCATACAACTAAGGAAAAGTCCAAGAAATCACCCTGCAATTGCAGAAGGTAGGATGGGGCGAGAATGCGGGGCTGCCTGGTCTGAGCAGCTGAGTGAGACAGATGCTGCGGCAGCAGCAGGAGCCTCTTAAAGGGGCTGCGTCCGCGAGCGGATTTTTGTGGTGACGGACCTGCTCGCTCTAAGCACAAGTGCTGACTTGGCTATGCGCAGGGGTCACCAGGGACTTACACAGAGACATTGTCGGAGTGAGGGTGGAGGCAAGACTTGCTCTGTACAGAAGTGCCTGCAGTATCCATTGTTCCTTGTTGAGCCCTCCCCGGTCCCTGTAAATAGACACAGTGCTGCCATAGTCCTGATGTCATCAAACTGGATAACAGAGGTTGCTCCGCCCAGAGGATTCCCTGAAGTCCCACCTCCCCCAACTCGGGGCTCCACCCAAGCCACATTCTGGAATAGCCTCAGCAAGTCAGGTGCTCCTGCTGAGCAGCACCTAGACTCACACTGGAGGCAGCTGGCCTCCGTTTCTGGTGTGGCCTTTTGAGACAATTATAAGCACAGCATCTATGGATTGCTTGCTGAATCTTAACAGACCCCAGAGGGGTAGAGGCTTGGGCTAAGTTTGGCCTGCAGCTGAACTCCTCTCAGGACTGTGCCACTGGACACCTACTTCACAAATCCACACTACTAAGAACGGGAGACTTAGGAGCTTTGCTTAGGACATAGAAACAGACATGGAAAGGCAGCCAAAATGGGAACACAAAGAAGCAGAAACCATATGACAGAATAGAACAGAGATCTAGATATAATGGAGTCAAGTAATCTAACAGGTGCAGAGTTCAAAACACTGGTTATAAAGATGCTCAATGAACTGTTTGGAAGTGTAGATAAATTTAGTGAGAACTTCAATAAAGAGATAAAAAACATAAATATGGAAATGGAAATTATAAAAAGGAACCAGTCTGAAATGAAGAACACATTATCTGAGATGAGAAGTATATTAAATGGAATAAAAAAGGAATAAACAAAGTGAATAAAGAGGATCAAATGCCCTATCTAGAGGACAGGAAAGCCAATCAGGACATTCAAACAGAATGGCAAGAAAAAAGATACCAAGACTATAAGGAGGATATGGGACACTCTTAAGGCTCCAGATATTTGTCTGATCGGTGTAACTGAAGAAAATCAAGATGCTGAACAGCTGTTTGAAGAAATAATGATGGAAAACTTCCCTAACCTGGTGAAGGAAATGGACATAAAACCCCAGGGAGCTCAGAGAATTCCAAAAATCGGGGATCCAAAGAGGCCTACACCAAGACACATCTTAATTAAAATGCCAAATGTTAAATACAAAGAAAGAATACTAAAAGCAGCAAGAGAAAAACGAATAATTACTTATAAAGACTGGCAGCTGATTTCTCAAAAGAAACTATTCAGGACAGAAGGGCTTGACAAAAAATATTTTACAGGATGAAGGCCCAGGATATACAACCAAGAATAATTTATCCAGCAATGCTATCATTTAGAGTTGAAGGACAGATAAAGAGCTTCCCAGACAAAAATAAGTTTAAGGACTTTATCACCACCAAGCCAGTATTACAGGAAATGTCGAAAGGACTTCTTTAAGAAGAAAAAACATGTATCAAAAACAGGAATAAAGAATGGTAACGACTACATTCCTATCAATAAGTACCTTAAATAGAAAAGAATTAAGTGTTCCAACCAAAAGATAGTGGCTGAAAGGATAAGAAAACATATGAAAAGCAAGGGGATGGAAAAAGATATTGCTTTGATTGACCTAGAAGGTATTTAAGTCCGACAGAGAAAGATAAACACTATATGATTTCACTAATATGCAGAATCTAAGGAATAAAAAGAACAAACTAATCAAAAACGGACTCACCAATATAGTGGACAATTTGGTGTCGGACAGAGGGAAGGGGGGTTTAGGAGGTTGGGAAAATGGGGTGAAGGGCTAAAGAAGTACAAATTAGTAGCTTATGGATGGTTACAGGGATGGCGAGCATGGCATAGGGAATGCAGTTAGTATTAATACGTCGGCTAGGTGGTGGGTCAGGGGAGGGAGGGTACAATTGGGGGGATCGTTTATGAAAAATAGAGTTGTCTAACCAATGTACTATATACTTGAAACTAAATAAAAATTTTAAAAAATAATACTAAAAATAGTAAATAACACAATCAACTGCTAGAAATTATATAAATTAAAGGCCTTTCTTAGTCCCTCCAATTTACAAACCCCTTTTCTACTCCATCTTTACTAGTAGTTTGTCACAAATGTTTTCCAGCTTCTTCCTTTTTTAAACAAGCATCTCTGTGTGTTTATACCTTTTTTGATAAAATAAAACGATGCCATATAAATATTTTCAAATGGCTTCTTTCAGTATATCGACCCTGGAAATCTTTCTAGGTCAATAAAGACACTCATGTCAAATCCACCTTATTCTTTTTAATAGGTGCATAGTGTTCTTTTGTTTAGCTAGATCATAATTTATATAGAAATTTATTTTTTAATTAAGCCCACCACACCCAACGATCCCCTTAATTCTGAAAAGGGGATCGTTGGGTGTGGTGGGCTTAATTAAAACCCCAAAGATATCTACACTCTAATCTCTGGAACCTATGAATGTTTTCTTATATGGCAAAATATACTTTGTAGATGTGACTATTAATTTAAACATGACTACTAGACATTGAAATGGTAAAATTATCCTGGATTATCTGAGTAGGCACTAAATGTAATTACTAATATCTTTATAAGACGGAGGCAGAGGGAGATTTTACTACAGAAGTAAAAAGTCATGTGATAACAAGCAGAGAGAAGCAGTGTTAGTCAGATAGTTATGCCATTGGCTTTGAAGCGGGGAGAACAGAAGCTCTAAAAGCCAAGGAATACAATCAGCTTCCAGAAACTACAAAAGGCAAGAAAACAGATTCTCCCTTCAAGCCTAAAGAAGAAACCAGTCTTGGTGACACCTTGATTTTAGCCCCATTGACTCATTTTAGATTTCTGGCTTTCAGAACTGTAAAAACTAAATTTGTGTTGGTTTAAACCTCCAAATTTGTGGTACTTCACTAGGACCTCATCTGAACTTAATTATATCTTCAAAGACCCATTTCCAAAATAGGTCGCATTCAAACGTACTAAAGGCTAGGACTTGAAGATATATTTTGGGGGTACATAGGTGAACTCATACATCTGCAAAGAAAGTCAATTCATCTATCACTGGTTTTAAATTTTGATCTCTGGAAACTTGTCATTGAATGCTGTAATTGTTGCCTCACTCCAATTACAAAATTCTAATTGGATTTGAAATTTCAGGAAATCCCAGAGAAAATAGTGAGGGAGGATGGGTATTTTGAGAATAATGAGTTTGGTATAGATCGGAAACATCCCAGAATATATACATGTAGCACCTCATTTTTATAGTGAGCGAAACGAAATAACTTATTTTTGGATACACATATATAGAACGTGTGTGATATTTTGAATACGCTCTAAAGAAAAGGAGTATAGTTGGGGGAGGAAGACAACCGGGATGAGATAGGGAGGAGCGCATAGGATTCTGTGGTGCGATGGGTTCACGAGTGTTTATTAGCCACCTATATTTAATATCTTTTGTATGAGTCAATATGTAATAAAACGGCAAGCATGAGTTATGCTTTAATATCAAATTGTGCCTAAATGACACATTTTAAAAAATGACATAGAGATGATAGATAATATGCTTTGAGAATGGACCTTCACGAACTAAGCCCTGAGATCGACATTGGAAAGCGGCATCAACCGTTTCTTCAAGCCAACTTTACCAGGTGTGACATTAGAAGCCGACAGGTGACAGAGCACTGGCTAAACTAATTATGAAACCTCGAGCAAAAGAACTTTGCTTCAATGAAACTCAAACACCAAAAAATAAGGAGGCTCACAGCGTGAACAAAAGCATTCCCAAAACTGTAGTTTTAAAGCAGGTTCATCACCTACCCACTGAAATCCTTCTCGGATTTGCGCTGATTCTGCGCAAAGACGTTTGCCCTATTTCAAAATGACTGCCCCGGCGCCCGCAACTTAAGCGTGGCGCATATCCGGAAGTTACGCAACCCCATAAGGTAGCGCGCTTCTACCCGTGGGGAGAGTTTCCGCCATTTTTGAAAATTGAGAAAGTCCGGAGCTAGGAGTAATTGCAGCCGCGATGGCAGCCTTTGCTGTGGAACCCCAGGCGCCCACGCTGGGTGAGTGAAAAGCTGCTTTTCCTCACTGGTACTGTGATCCACGCCGTAGGCCTGGAAGCGGGCAAAACTGAAAGGCAGTAGTCATCATGCTCTTATCCGCTAGTTTCAGTCGCGGAGGGGGAGCTCTTGGCTCATCCCCAAGTTCCTACTCAGCCCCCTACTTGAGTCATCGCTACCCTGACGCTTCCAGGGCGGCTCTAGGAAGGTGCGGGCCCTGGAGAGGCTGAGGAAACAGCCATCGAATGTTGACTGAGCCGTTTAGTGCCCCCACACGTCTTCTCATCAGACCTGCCTATACCTGAGAACCCCCGCCCCCACCCCCCTACCGCCCTACAGTCCTACCGCCCTGGAGGCGGTGCTGAGTTTGGGGATCTGGGGAAGCATTGGTGGGAAGGGGCTTAACTGGCGTACACGTGGGTGGGCGGTGCCCCGGGGTGCGGTTACAGACTACCGCTCTTTGGTCACCTGGGCTTCTAGTTCCAGTTCGATTCCTTCTGCTGAGCTTTGCCGAAGGAATCTTATTAATGGACGCGTGAATCGTGCGACATTTAATTAACCAGGTGATGGCAGCCATCGAGATATTGGCCTTAATAAGAAGCCAGGAGTTCGCACGATTTCCCCCGCCTTCATCTTAGGAAAGTGATCAGGTATTGTAGGAGGTGTTTTCCTTAAATCAGTCACATATGAATTTTTAAAAACTCATTCCCGTTATGAAATGGGGAGCATTGCTGAAATGTGGCGTCGTTGAAAAGAAATCTAAAAAGTTAATGGGGTGTTGATTTCCTTTTTGTCTGGGACTTCGAGAATCGTCGAAAATTTAACAGAAAACAGTCTACCATCCTAGAGACGTGTTTGAAAATTAGGTTACAACTCTCTTTAGAAAAAGAGCAAGAGTGATATGTCCTTGTATAATGAGGTTTTGTCTTTTTTAGATTGGAAGGGTATATAATGAATGCTTTCCATGTTTTGTGCAAAATGTTTCTTTTGAGAATAGAGTAACGTGAACTGCTTTAGTATTAGTCATAAACTAAATGCACAATATCAAGTGGAATTACTGTGCTACATTTAAGTACAGATGTTGGTCTAAGTATGTTTTGTACTATTTTTAGATATTAGAAAACTATACATTTCCAGTTCCAGTTCTCTACTCAAAAACATTTTGGAGTGCATATTTCATGGCGTTACAAATATGAATAAACCTGTCCCTGTTTATTGCCCGGGCAGAAATCTGACATTAGCTGATATTAATCAAGCCCACATATGCAGATATTCTAGGTGATGAATAAACGTTTTCCCAGCACCTAATTGTGTATTAGAACTAAGGGTTACTTCACCAGTTCTAGTGGAGTAAGAGGACACTGCACTTACTATTTTTTCAGACTTGAACGATTCACTCTTTAAGTGAAATTTAGCTTGAAGGGTGGTTAGTGACAGATGAGGAGTCCTTTGTTGCCCTCATTCTGGTGCTTTCTACTGTGTCACAGTATATGTCCACACGTATCGGAACTTTTCTTGACCTAATTATTTTTATAATTGCCATTTTTTTTTTCCTTTTGGTGGATGGGAGAGTGAAGGTAGTTTGACAGTACCTAAAACTTTGTTTATTGCTATGGGTTTTTAATATCTGTTGAGAAAATGTTTTTGTTTAGATTTTTGGTTTGAGTTTAGTGTACATTCTTTGGAAATCATAATGGCACCATAGTAACGTAGTAACTAGCACTTTACAGTAATTACAATGTAATCATAGTTCTTCCTGCTTGCTTTATCTTTTTCCAAATTACCTTTTTTCTTTTTTATATAGTTGGATTGTTAATATCTAGGTCTACTATAACAAGAAATAAGAGGAAGAATAAATAATTGACAGCATTTGAATGTAAGAAACAAATTTTTGAGGCTGTTTTAGAGTTAAAGAATAATTAATAAAGATGATATAAATAACATGCAAAACATTTGATGTTTCTGAATGCCACGAATCATATTCAAGCTTGTTACATAGTTGAAAAATTAAATTTTCATAAGCAGAAATTGTAAAATTTTTCATTTATATATGTCGCTCAGTTTTGGCTATTATAAGATACCATTGTAATAATAACTAATACTTGTTGAACATCTATTATATATCAGGCACTGGGTTAAGTGCTTTACTTGCTATAGTTCTAATCAAAGCTCTATGACTGGGTGCTACTATTATGCCGATTTTGCTGAGAGACTTGAACCCAGGCCTCTGACTCCAGAGTCCATACATAGTCTCTTTACTGTGCCATTTTGCTCTGAAATTAGATTAAGTTATAGCTTCCTTATCTTCATAATAGGAAAAATAACAACCCTGTAAATTGTGAAGATTAAGTTTGAATAAATGATTGCGAAGTATCAGTTTTCTTTTAAAATTTATTTTATATCAGACTTTTATCAATTATTCCTAACTTTAAATGAATGGTCTTAAAAAAAAATGACTCCCAACATGAACTTTCCAAGCCTTTTTTATGTTTCTTAATTTGGATGCTATCATTACTATTATTTCTTATGTGCTCTGTGCGCATGATTACACTTTTATTACAAAAATAACTTACAGTTTTTGCGGGGAAGAAAAAAATGGGACATATTGCAAGCTAAACCTGTTGTGTTTGGTTTGCTAAGACTTTGCGTAAGTAGCTTGTGTACCCTGTCCTTGTTTTTGGTTGTTACATAGTAGAAGCTGACCCAGAAAAGGAAAGAGGTTTTCTTGTATGTATTAGGGATTTTTTTAATATAGTAAATTAAAATTTTTTAATTTAAAAATAACTTGAGTCTTAAACCTGTGAAATAATGTTAACAAAAATAAGTTAATGTTGTTAATACAAAATACTCATATTTTTCTAGAAAAATTTTATTGGTTTTTAAAATAATAAATTTTACCAGTTCTGTATTTAGCATTATATTTTCAACATTATGCTAGATACTTGCATCTTTTTGTTAGATATTATAACATTAATGTTTTTTATTTTATTTTTTGATTCCTTTTAGGATCTGAACCAATGATGCTGGGTTCACCCACATCTCCAAAGCCAGGGGTTAATGCCCAGTTCCTACCTGGATTTTTAATGGGGGATTTGCCAGCTCCAGTGACTCCACAACCTCGAACAATTAGTGGCCCTTCAGTAGGAGTAATGGAAATGAGATCACCTTTGCTTGCAGGTAGGTAAATAGCTTAAAATAGTTTCATAGAACTGTCAGTATATGTACTAGAATTTTAAAAAGTAATGGTGCATCTTTCACCTTTATCAACCCATTTATTAATTTAAAAATTAAGTATTTTTTATTTTAAGACTCTTGGAATAGAGATGTAAGCAGTACTGTTTTTTCCTATACATACATATCTATGATAAAGTTTATAAATTAGGTACAGTAAGAGATTAACGATAATAACAATTAAATAGACAATTATAGCAACATATTATAATAAAATTATGTGAATGCTGTCTCTCTCAAAATATCTTATTGTACTGTATATACAGTGTAGATACACTGGACAAAGGGATGGTTCAAATCCTAGGCTGGACAATGAGAGATTTCATCATGCTACTCAGGACGGTGTGCAGTCTAAAACTTACGAGTTATTTATTTCGGGAATTTTCCATTTAACATTTTCAGACTGGGGGTAACCGAGACCACAGATAACAAAACCATAGGTAAGCAGGGGACTACTGTACTATAATTTCAAGAATCACTCATTAAAAATATGCGTACTACATTTCATCCAATCTAAAATGCCATCGATTGTAAAACTCAGTTATTCTAAGGAGCACTAAGAAAGAAAAACACTAAATATAATACAATGCCAAGATCTACTTTTTGTAAATTATCCCTGTTTCAGAGATATTAAAGTGTATGCATTGGCGGGGGGAAGAAATTTGGTTGTTTAACTTGAATTTGGTTTAAATAATTCATCTTAAATATAATAATAGTAAATAGTCAAAAGAAGTATAATTTGAAAATTTATAAATATGTATTCTATTTCTAGTCTGAGTGAATTAAGATTCTCACTTGTGGTGTGTTTAGTGAAAGGACTTCACAGACTACAGATTTTTTTTTACAGAGAATATGCAGTTGTCAGCGCAAAATGTTGTTACCTAAATGCAACATGTATCTTTTACAGGATGCCTTTAGCAAAGAAATATTTTAAAAGATAACTTTAAAGATTTAACTATGAGTAGTGAGAATTAGCTACAAAAGTGGTGGAATTCCAATGTAAGCTAATATTATTTCAGTAGATATTTAAATGTAAAATCTTATTACTTTAATTGTCTTGAAGGTATTATTTGGTTTAAAGGGTTTATTCTATATAAACCACGTTTTTTTTGTATGTATGTATGTATACACATAATCAGCGAGAATTATAAATTATAATTGAAATAATTTGCTTAAAAATATTCTGGACAGGCTTTTGTTTTGTACATATTTCAAATATGTTATTATTTTAGCTAACATATATTGAGTACTTATGAGCCAGGCAGTATGCTAAGTATTTTATATGTTATTTTCATTCTTTTATCTAAGGGATAGGTAGTAGTATCCCTATTTTTCAAAAGAGGAAACAGGCTAAATGCAATAAAGAACTTGCTGAAGTTTGCTTGGGACAGAGCAGGAGATTAAAGCCCAGGTCAGTTTTGTTCTATAGCCTGTGCTCTAAATAGCTTATGCTGTACTGTCTAGGCTCAAACATTAGTCTTACCGAGGGCATGGGCTGTTTCAGTATTTGGCATTGCTGATTTTATGACTTCTAAAGACATCTTTATGTCCCTAAAAGTTAGTCCTTTTCTTATGTCTTTATTGTGTACTTAAATCCGTTTTTACTGTGAAAAACATGAATGGGGCCTGTTTAATCTTGGCAAACTCCGCATTAGAGGATTATGTTTATTCAAGTATATGCATATATGCACACTGGAGCTATTTAATACCTACTTTCAAGTGAGAAATAAAATCAAGTTTTGTATTGAAATATTAAACATTTTGTGGAGAAAGCAAAAGTTGTGTGAGCTTACTGAAAACTAAAATTTCTATTTACTGATAATGGAACCTTTTGTTCAGAGTTTAGTCCATGGATCACCAGCATTGGCATTACTAGGAGCTTGTTAGAAATTCATAATCTCAGGCTCTACCTCACACATTCTAAATCAATCTGAATTTTAACAAGATCCCCAAGTGACTTTCATATGTATCAAAGTTTGAGAAGCACTGGGAGACAAGAGTTTAAGTCAGTACTTTAAAAATATAAATTTAAAAAATCTTACCAGAAAGATAGAAAGTTTCTTTGTTTTCTCACCTAACTGTATTTTTATACATTGTAGGTGGGTCACCACCACAACCAGTTGTACCAGCTCATAAAGACAAAAGCGGAGCTCCACCAGTTAGAAGTATATATGATGACATTTCCAGTCCAGGACTTGGATCAACACCTTTAACTTCAAGAAGACAGGTAATACACATACCTTTATTCATGACCCACTGTTAATAATTTCATGTTTTTATGTGACTGTACAGTGAGGGTCAGTAATTAGAAGTGTTTCCCTGAGGTCTATTTTAGTGTAATTTTATTGCACAGGATACTCATTAAGGACATTTATCATAGAATCTACTTAAATTGTGTTTATCCATGAAATGTACTTAAAAATGTAATAAAACTCCAGATTATTTTCTCATATAAGTAATTCTAGGATTTTTCACTTGTCCATGTCCCTAACCTATTTAATGTATATATGTAGAAATGATTATGGTTTAAGTCATTCCAGTTCTTTAAAAAGTTCAATGTTTATACATAATTCTGTGAAAGAACAAATGAATATTTGGGGTTTTATCCAGATCTAGGGCACTATGTAGTGATTTGAAGTGTTTGTTTTAGAAATTGTTTTATTAATATAAGACCACTGTCCTTTTAGAGCTAAGTTCACTGTTTACTTATTTTACAAAAAACACTGCCTCATGCATATTTATGAGCTGATAGTTTAGTATGTTTCCAGGTTAGGTTTTCTCATGGTGATGTTAAGGTTTGCTTGGTGTAGGTGTTCTGGTGGTGTTATTTTCAGTCATAGATTATGCAAGATAGAGATCCTCTGTTTTGATGGGACTGATTGCTACAAGAAAGTATCTAATACTTATGAAGTTCCTATGGTGCACAGGCCCTGATCTTACAGCTTAAGTAGTTTGTCAAGAGTCAGGCAGCTAGTCTAGCAGAGCTAGGCTTTCAACCCAGGGAGTACTGAATCTAAAGCTTAATGTTTGTAACAACCATGCTATGCTAATACTATTGTGATAACTCTTGATTGTCACTGGAAAGGTGGTATGGATTTTTCTTTTAAATAGGAAGTTTAGTGCTTTTATAGTCACAAGTGTTCTCTCCTATTACTGTCGTACTTAGGACATATAAACAAAGTATGTCAGTTAAACTGATAAGTTCTTTGTATAAAGATATTTTTGCTGTTTAATTTGGAAAAATGTTTTATGGCTTTCCCTAAATCAAATATAACATAGTTGTTGGAAAGCTTAAGAATAGTAGAAAGCATCTTTCAGTAAATTTTGACTATTTATAGACTTGATATCCCTGGCATACTAGGCCTACTCATCAAGCAAAGCAAAATTGTGTTAAACAGATTACTTTCTCTTTTCAACACTTCTAGATCTTTGCACCTGTCCAGTAAAGACGGTAGCCACCAGCCAGGTGTGGTTCTTGGCACTTGAAATGTGGCTAGTCCCATATTTAATTCAGATATGTGTGTCTACTCTAAAATTTAAAATTGCCTGTATGGCTTGTGTTGTATTTGGATAGTGATTTTCTAACTTAACAAATCCAGAATATTCTGGTCTGAGATATTTTTTCTAAAGATTGGTAAGTAAATCTGATGTTTAGTTTGGTATGAGAACCCCTGGCTTATATTGTATAGACTGATTTGAATCTGTAGTACTTCATGGTTTGTAAATGTCTATGTAAAAATAAAATTTTGCCGTATTTCTATTTTTCTTTGTGAACTATTATCTGTTATTTCAAATATTGTACCTTAGGAACTAAAAGCAAATAGCACTGTTACTTTCTACTAAAAATAATGTCTTTTTACGTAATGCAACCTAACTTATTTTAAACAAATAATATGCTAAGAGTCTAGCATATTTTAGATTAGTACTGTTCAACCTAAAAAAAAAGTTAAGGAGTACTCTTTGATTTTGAGCTAATTATAGACATCTCTGGTTCTTGGTAGACATTCAGTTGTCTGTCGAACGAAACCTTTCAACACTTATTATGCTTATGTTATTGTTAGAACTTTGCATTTTTTCTTTAATGGTTCTGTTTTTATGTAGCCAAACATGTCATTAATGCAGAGTCCTCTTGTTGGAGTTACGACAACTACTCCTGGGATAGGTAAGCAATGCCTTTTAACACCAAAGACTGTTCTTGCTCTTCAAAGATAATATAAAACCTTTGTTGATAATTGCCAAAATTTTTTCTTTTCTATTTCAAACGTGGAGATGTTATCAAATATCAGTAATTTCTTTAAGAAAGGAAATACTTTGTTTATTGATTCTTTTCTGAATTTAAAGATAAGCTATGATATTCTACTCATTGAACAAATGGTTTTACCCAGAAAATGTGGAAAACAAATAGGAGGAGGTTTGCTGTGTGTGGTAAGAAACTTTGGGGTAAGGGCAAGGGTGGAAGCAAAGAGATCAGATAGGAACCTACTGCATTAATCCAAGTGAGGGATGGTGGTGGTTTAGATACAAAGGAAGGCCGGACAGGAAGAAAAGAGGAGCAACAACAATAATACAGAACAAAAGAAACAATAGCAAGAGTGTAGATTTAAAATGAACCAAATCAACAATTATATAAATCAGAATATACTAAACAGTCTAGTTAAAAGGCAGAGATTGTCAGAATGGATAGCAAAAGCGGTATCCAGTAACAAATTAGATATTTTTATTCTCCAAATCCAGATTTCTTCAGTCTGCAAATCCTCACTGGCACTGTCCTCAAAGTCTAGATTTCTACTTCCAGTTTGTTCAGGGCTATTTGGGCCTTTTCTCTCATGCTACTTAAATTTCTTCCAGCCTCTGCCCACTGTGATCCCAAAGCTACTTCCACACATTTAGTTATTTGTTACAGTAACTCTGCATTTGTGGTACTAAAATCTGTATTACTTGTAAATTGCTGCCATAGCAAATTACCAAGAACTTAGTAGCTTAAAACAACACAAATTTGTTATCAGAGTTTCTATAGGTCATATGTCTAGGCACAGCTTGGTCTTTGCTTTAGAGCTCAGGTGCCAGCAGGGCTGTGTTCCTTTCTGGAAGCTCTGGGGATGAACCACTTCAAGCTCATTTAGGTTGTTGGCTGAATTCAGTTCCATGTGGTTGTCCTGAGGTCCCTGTTTCTTTGCTGGCTGTCACCTGGAGGTTGTTCTCAGCTTCTAGAGGCTGCCCTCATTCCTTGGCTTGTAGCTCCCCTTCCATCTTCAAAGACAGCAAATGACAGACAAGTCCTTTTTCATGCTTTGAATCTCTCTGACCTCCTTTTGTTGGATCTCTTTGATTTGGCTTTTCTGCCATCTGCTGCTGTTAGGGTTCATTTTATTATATTTGGGCCAACGAATTACAGGTTTCCGTTCCTGTGAAACCTTTCGAAAGCTGAAATGGTCTAAAGCGAAGAAGCATTTATGTATCTCAGGACATGTGTTGCTAACGTGTGCACAAAATAAATCTCTATAAAGCACATATGCTCATAGACACAGTTCAAAACTAAGGCTGTTTGATGCTGAGATGCTAAGTATAGTTCCCAGGGAAGGAGCTTGGCAATACAACTCTCACTGCTGCTCAGGTGTGTGCTGCCTCTGTAAGGGCTTGCTGCAAAACAAACGCTGGATGCTATTTTCAATTTTTGCATTTTTCTTGAAGGCGAACTTCTCTTTGGATTTCTTTCAGTTAGCAAAAACCAAAGTGGCGTATAGCAAACTTGTGAAAAGCGGAGATACCTGTAATCCATGGTAATTCCTTATTTTAAGATCAGCTGATTAGTAACCTTAATACTACCTACAAAGTCCCTTCACAAAATACCTAGATTAGTGTTTGAATTACCAATCAATGAAACTAAGTAACAAACTTTGGGTGGATATCTTTGGGTTTCTGCTACTACATATTTCTGTCCACTGAAAAACCTAGGTTGTCACCTCAGTCTCATACTTACATACTTGAGGTAGAATGTTCTAGGGGAATTAGTTCAGGTTTTAACAATCTTAATCTGCTCAAATAGGTAGATGACAGTGCTTTGTTATGTGGCTGTTACTAATAGTGACTATTTAGCTGTTTAAAATTGAGTCAGTAAGTGATCCCAGGGACTTTGAAAATGCAAAAACACAAAATGTTAAGTAATGTATTTAATGCTTTCAAGGATCTCTTAGGTGTCTGAAAAGCATGCATTGTAATATTCTTATTGATATTAAGTAAAAGAGCACAGGATTAACGTTAATTAAGTATCCCTTTGTTAACTTATTTTTGTCGAATGTAACTTCTATGAGGTTCTTTGTCATTTTGGAAATCAAATATGAAAATACAAGATAGGAAAATATACCTATCATAAATTGGCCACTGGGGGCCACTGCTGCTTCTGCTTTGACTTTAAGGAATTTTGTATAGGAAGTCTTAATAGAGCATAAGTGAAAAAGAATATTTTTGAAAAGATCTGATGGGCATGAGGACCTACCATTGCATGGCCAGTAATAAGCAAGAAATGGGGAAATGGAATTGACTTGAGAAAATTAAGGGGAAAATGTAGATGTTTCACTTAGAGCATTTTTTTTAACTCCTATATTTAGTGTTAAATAACTTTTGGAGATTGATGTCTTTATAAAGAGATTATGGGATTTAATGACATGAGTGATCTTTTATGCTTATGTCTTTAATTTGTTTTTAAATTCTATAACTGATGTTAACCTCCCTGAGTCTTATATCTGGTGCAGGAAAACTTTAGTCATATGACAAAGTGGGAAATCTGGATTAAAGAATTTCAGAAACTCTTCTCAACCATGGTATATTATTAACCTGGTAGTGAATGTTTTAAATACGTTTGCCCTATCCTTCCCCATCCTCACCCCTCAGTTTTCTTTTGCTACTATTTAAATATTCCCTGCTTTTCATCTTCTTTTAAATTTTTCTTAACTTTTTTCTTGAGAAGTTCTTTCATCTATCAGCTCTCTTCTCAAAAGGTATCGAATTATATCTACTGAATTACAATCCTTATTTGTGTTAGTGTATTGTTAATTAAGTGTGATAATTAGACTAGAGCAATTTTTGGCTGCTTTTGTAGATGCTAGTAGCTCAGAGTTCTGGCGGGGAGGACTATTTTATCTGAGAGAACTTTCCCGATGCTTTTTCTGATATGGATTAACTGCTTTTTATATGTACTCCTATAAAGCTCTCACTGCTCAGCTTTTATCTTTCTCCATTACTGGATAATGAACTGTAGAACAGAGATTCCTTTAGGATCTTTATTATTTACCAGTCTCAGAACTAGGACCTCGGTAAATGTTGACTTGAATAGATTGATGGATCTAAGTTGATAGTGAGTTGAATGGTAGCCCCCAAATTATATGCCCACATCCTAATACTCAGAACCTGTGAATATTACTGTGTGGCCAAAACATAAGATTAAGGATCTTGAGAGGAGGAGCTCTCAAGGAGTGTAGATAATTAACAAAATAGGAGGAAATTAATCCTGGTAATTACGTGAGTTGTCCCTAAATCCAGTATGTGTCCTTATAAGAGGCAAAGAAATCTGACACAGAATGGAGAGACATGCAGAGGAGAAAGTGATGTGAGCAAAGATTGGAGTGTTGTTGCCACAAGCCAATGAACACTAAAACATGCCAGCTGTCACCAGAAGCTAGAAGATGCAAGCATGGATTCTCCCTTAGTGCTTTCAGCAGGTGTTTGGCCCTGCTGAAAACTTGATTGGACTTCTGGCCTCCAGAACTGGGAGAGAATAAGTTTCTGTTATTTTAAACCACCCAGTTTGTGGTAATCATAGGAAACTAATATTATACATATGTAGTGTTTTGAGGCAGTGACATTCCAGCACCAAACAAGAGAAGATATGTGTCCAGCTGGTCATGAAATAGTTTTTCTTTAATAATAATTAAAATAAACACAACTTTATTCTAGATTATGTTAGTTTCTTAGTGCTACTGAAACAATTTATCATAGATTAGTGCCTTAAAACAACTCAAATTTATTATCTTAAAATTCTGGAGATCTGAAGTCTGAATTGAGTATTAATGGACTAAAATCTAGGCATTGGTAAGGTTGCATTCTTTCCTGGAGTCTGTAGGGGAGAATCCTTTTTTTTTCTTTTTCCAACTTCTATAACTACCCAGGATTCTTGGCTCATGGCTCCCTGCCATCTTCAAAGCTTGCACTGGCCAATTGAGTCTTTCTTACAACTCTCTTTTCCTTCCTTGTTTAAGGACCCTTGTGATTATGTCAGATATACTGGGTTAATCCAGGGTAATCTTATTTAAGATCAGATAATTAGCAATCTTAATTCTATCTGCATCTTTTTTAATTCCTGTTTACCATGTAATGTAACTTATTCACATCTTCTGGGTATTAGGACATGGTGATTTTGGGGGGACCATTTTCTGCTTACCACATTGACTTTTAAAAATTAGTCACCAAAATTTACTTAGTCTCATTCCAGAATAGCTACAGTACCATTGGGTCGTCTTTAGTTTTGGTAGGGGTAATATTTTATATTTTAGTCAAGACAGTTTAAGAAAATAGTACTTAAATACTTATAATGAAATGCAGCGGTCTTTACTTTTATTTCTCTGGAACTAACCAGGTCAGATCTTAGAGGTATTCCTTTTGAAATTCCATTTCAAATGAGGTACTGTATTAGTTTCTTGTTTCCACAAATTTAGTGGCTTAAAACAATTCAGATTTATTCTCTTACAATTCTAGGAGCCAGAAGTCCAAAATCAATTTCATTGGGTTAAAGTCAAAGTGTTAGTAGGACTTATTCCTTCTATAGGCTCTAGGGAGAATTTTTTTTCCAGCTTCTAGCAGCTACTTGTATTCTTTGGTTGTGGCCCCTTCTTTGATCTTCAAGGTGTATTACTCCAATCTGTTTCCATTATCAGATCACCTCTTTGTAGTAAAATCTATCTCCTACTTCTTGTGAGGACACTAGTGGCTATATTGGGGGCCCAGTTGAATAGTCCTGGATAATCTTCCCATCTCAAGATTTCTTAATCACATCTGCAAAGTCTCTTTTGCCATATAAGGTAAGGTTCCATGGATTAAGGCTCTGGGGATGAGATTCCAGGTATTAGGATGTAGTCATCTTAGAGGGCTATTATTCAGCTATATATG